CAGTCCAAAAACAACTCCACATCCATAGCCTAACACCACAACTCTCCAGCCAAATCTCCACAACTCATCTTTTTCTTGGAAGGAGCTCGGCGGTGTCCCAATTCCATCACAAGATTTTGACAATGGGATTCCGCACAGTCCAAGGTTTCCTTCATAAGAACCATTTTCAAAGGTGTTGAACTGACTGCCCTGTGGTATGCGGCCGACGAGATGATTATTTGAAAGATTCAATACAGAGAGTTGTGTCAAAAATACCAATTCATCAGGAATTTTCCCCACGAGCTCGTTGGAAGAGAGATCCAACCATTCCAGATTCGTCAAATTCCCTAGTGACGGTGGGATATGACCAGTAAGGTTGTTATGAGAAAGATTAAGCCCTTTGAGAGAACTAAGCTTTCCAATAACATCTGGAATTTCTCCCTCAAACATGTTATATGAGAGATGAATACTACTGAATACGGTCAAGATTCCCTGCAGCTCATAGTCGAATCCCTTCCATGTCACAACCAGCGAATATTGATAAGAATTGGCTCTCGTCGACATCATCATGTATTTAGGGGAACCACCATCTTTACGAGGGTCCATCATCGCATTAAAATTTTCAATGTACCGAACAGGCAAAGCACCAACAAAATAATTGCTGGAAAGGTCCAGAACTTGCAACTTGGGAAAAGATGGACTTTCTTTGGTGCTCTGCACAGAACCGTGGAACCTGTTGGACCTTAAGACAAGCACTTGAAGGTGTGGTAGAGATTCCAACCAATGAGGGAATGTATCCTCTATGCTGTTGTTGCCAACGTCTAGAACCTCTAACTTTCTACAATTCACCAAAGACCTTGGTAATAGCCCATCCATTTGATTTCCATGTAAGTTGAGATTTCGTAATCCACAGCCCTTTGGAGACCCAAATGGCATATTTCCATCAAAGTAATTGGCCTGCAAATTCAACACTGAGAGAGACTTAGGAAGACAATTTGGAATCTTCCCGATTAAACTGTTGTGAGAAAGGTCAAGAATTTCGAGATCATCCTTGTCACATATCCATTCAGGAATATTTCCATGAATGCTATTTTTGGATAGCATTAGGCTTTGTAGACCATTTGAATGTCTTATGAAATTGGGGAATTCACTCAAGTTACAAGAAGAAAAGGAAACATCAGTTAGCATGGGTAATGTGAAGTTGGCATTGACATTCATTCTCAAGGACAGATTATTGTCTGAAAGAAAGATGGTTTGCAGATTTTGAAGTGCCGAGAACATGTCAGAGTCTACTAAATCACTAAAATGATTTGATGATAAATCGAGATAATTAAGATATACTAAATTAGCAATGGAGTTAGGAATTGAGCCCTGGAGTTTATTGTTTGACAAATCTAAACGTACGAGTGGGTTTTGTTGGAATTGATTTATTTGACCTTGAAATTGGTTGTGATTGAGATACAAGGACTCTAACAAAGGTAGAGTGAAAATCCAAGGTGGAATGGGATCAGAAAACTGATTATTTGAAAGGTCAAGAAAGGTAAGTTGGGTGAGGTTTGCAAGTGATGATGGGATCTGTCCACTAAAATTGTTAAAAGAGAGGCTTAGGTAAGTTAGTTGAGATAAGTTACCTATGGAAGCTAGAATGGAACCAGAAAACTGATTATTGGAAAGGTCAAGAGCGGTAAGTTGGGTGAGGTTTGCAAGTGATGATGGGATTTGTCCGTTAAAATTGTTAGAAAAGAGGCTTAGCCAAGGTAGTTGAGATAAGTTACCTATGGAAGCTGGAATGGGACCAAAAAACTGATTATTGGAAAGGTAAAGAGAGGTAAGTTGGGTGAGGTTTGCAAGTGATGGTGGGATTTGTCCGCTAAGATTGCTAGAAGAGAGGTCTAGGCTAGT